GACTAAAAAGACCGATGCTAGATTAGCAAGTCCGATTGCAAAAGGCACAACGGAAAGGTCTTTTTTAGTACGGTATTGGCTAAATACAATTCTTTTTGCTTATCTTTTGTCCTCAAAGCTGATTCTTTTTGTATTCTCAAAGGAAGCAGAGGCGATATGAATGATTGTCTCCCAACTTGAGGTCAGAGTGGACATTGATGGTAGCCTATATGGCCATGGCTGAGGTATTGCTTCAGGGCATCTTGTGCTTCTCCTTGCTCCTCTTTGGGACTCTTCTTTTGCGGAAGCCTAGGGCAAGTTCACCACATAACACAATCATAGAAAGGTGGTGATCATCCATCCTGGAAATGTGCTCACCGAGCGCAACTGCCTTCTTAGTAGTATGACCTCAGTACTCTGACCGCTGCCCGTGTAAGAACAGTAAAATCAGCCCCATAGTCAGACCAATGGATGTTTAGGATTGTACGGAGGCAACGTTGGTGGAACCGTCTGGGAGTCGCAATTGGTAGCGATTGATTAACCATGATTCAGATCCACCTAAAATAGACAGCACAATGGCTTTATAGACACAAATCTTTGACTTCTCTTTTTTTTTTTTTTGTTGCGCCAATCTTTTATAGAGTTTTCCGAAAGTTCTGTATGCCTTTGCCAATCTGTTGTCTCTCTTTGTCGATTATGCCGTCCGAGGAAATGATGCTTCCTAGATAGAACTATTGGACTGACTTAATCTCCGATTTACTTGTGTTAATGTGGGGAGGGGGAGGGACGGATGACTTCCTGAGACGCAGGTTGGTAGGGAACTTCTGTCTTCTTCAAGCTCACTTCCAGCCGGAAAAGCCCAATGGTCTTCGCAAAACAGGATGTTAAGCGCTGCAGAGTTTGCTTCTGTGTAAGCAACAAGGTCGACCTCGTCAACAAAAAACGGCTCGCGGAGTAGTGATTTAGGATTTTAGTGTGAGCCTTCTGTCGCCTCAAAATGAATAGGCTTCCATCGGTACGATATCGGACGTGAATGCCGTTTTCTGATCCTCATTGATCCTCATGTAATAAGATAATTTTATTTTGAGGAACTTACGGAGACAGATAATTTTAATCGTCCCAAGATCTGCCACAGATATTTCCTGCTCACAGTGTCAGAAGCTTTGATGAGGTCTATGAGACTTATATGGAATCCTTTGTTCTGTTCCTTGAGTTGCTCTTGCAATTGTGGAGAACAAATACTATATTTGTGGTATTTGAAATTATCGAGGTATTATATTTGTGGTACTCCTATTAACTCTGAAACCACATTGGTTTTCAGATAGTTTTTCTGAGGTAATGAGTACTAATCGGTTCAGAAGAATTCTTGCCAAGATTTTGCCAGCAATGGAGAACAAGATAATACCTCGATAATTTGAACAATCTGATTTTACTTCTTTGTTCTTTATGGGGTGATAGTGATTGCATTACGGAGATTTGGTGGCAGTTCGCCTTTTTCCAAACAGCACACAATGAGCTCGTAAAACTGAGCATGGAGTGCTTGATCCTTATGCTTCCAGACCTCATATGAGATACCATCAACCTCAATTGCCTTG